GCGAAGGAGCAGGTGAGTGTGATCGAAAACAAGGACGAACAAGTGTTTCTTTATTTTTTGTTTTGTTGCTGTGTTTCTGTTTAAACGTATCCGCTTTTTTGTTGCTCATGATTGAAGAACACACGAAACACTCATAAACCAAGCACTCCACCACCACCCAAAAGCTGTGTTGCATGTTTGCCCAAAAATCCTAAATTGTACTCACATCTAAGCGCTGCATGCAATTAGAAGAAATGTGTTTTTGGTATTAAATAATTAAATGAAAAGTTGCTTGTTTATTTTATTTTAATATGCTTTAACTGTTACTTCTTAAAAATTTAAGTTATTTTGCTGCTGTTGTTGTTCGCGCTTAGTATCGAATTCGACGGCTTTTTTTTATTTAATTTGTGTATGATTGTTGTTACTAAAAGCGCTGCAAGAACTAAACAAACGAAATCAAATTTTGTATGGCTTCAACGATGCTTTACAAAGCCACCAAAAAAAAAGCGCAAAACACGAAAAGCAAGCTTTAAAAGCTCAATGGATTTACTATGGATCCTTAAAAATTTATGTGGAATATTTTATGCGATTACAAGTACTGCAGCCTTGGAGTATAAGGCGGAACCACCAGCTTAAAAAGAAGCCGCTAATTTAAGGAAATTTCTGTTAATTTCTTCTCGGCTCCACACCAAGATCAGCAAGTAGTCTTTTGAGACCTTAAGGATCAGCTAAGAAAACTTAACATAACTTTTGATTGCGCTACAACAAAAATGCTAGCATAAAATTATCTTCACTCAGATCGATTTTAGCATACCAAATATGAGGACTACAACACAATCGCATTTAAATGGTTTTACAAGAATAGTTTACTATTTGGGGACTGAATATTCTGAAAAACATTGATTCATTGAAATGTTAAAAAAATCTTAACGGAAATAAAGCTTCTGCTTGAAACTACTGATTTAGAGTAGTCGTTTTAAGTGAACTTCTTATGAAATTGGTACGGAAACGTAGTACTGGTTATGCGATTTTTGCTACGCAAAATTTATATAAAAGAAAACTTGAAGCTGGCGGAAATAATTTGTGCTTTCTTCATTAAAAATAAACATTGCACTTGTGTACATTTACATAGGTTTGTTTCATACATACAGTGTCTCAAAAAAGTTACCGTCTTATTTTTTTTTTAATATTCACAATGTTTTTCAAGCCAATTTTTGTTTGTTTGTTATTCTTCTATAAAATTATTGTTTAAGTATCTTTTATCCGACGGATATAAATCAAAGCTTCAAACTTTATACAAAATTTAGGTAAATTCAGCGATTTTTATAAAAATTTGGAATTTTTTAGGAATGCAGTGTTATAGCATATACAATTTTAATCTGACAATTGTGACAAACACTATTTCTTAAGGAACAAAATACATACGCAATACTATTAGGAACAAAATTTAAAAAAATCACAAGCAGTTTTAATAAATTGCACTGGTTATATAAAAGAAAACCCCAAAAGCCGTCACCAAAAAAATTGTATATCAATGCAATTTTTTAGCATCCAGAATCTTGCACTTTATTGTACTAAAATTTAATGGGCTGTATAATTGCATAACTAAAATTTTTCTATTCATATTAAATAGTTCGAAATTTTAATGCAAATTTGTTGAATTTTCCTAAATTTGGTATAAACTTTTAAACTTTGATTTATATGGTTTTGGTTAAAGACAACTTCTTTATAGAAAAATAAAACAAGAAAAATTAACTTAACAAAATTTTAAATATTTGAAAAAAAATCAATATGTTAATACTTGCTTGAGTCACTGTCTATTGGGTGTAGTAAAAAGTCATATCGTTTTTTTTGCCGAGTTCAAGATTTTGCTTTTTATCATTGCAAACTATTATTTTCTAATTTTTACTCTTTCGATCAAAAAATAATCGTTAAAATGTGAAATAAATTTTTTGAGTAAAATTTAATATTTATTTTGTGATTTTAAATTTGTTCGATCAACAATAATCGTTAGTTTGGATTTATATATATATTGTTTTATAATTTTTAACCGTTATAACCCTATAAAATATCTTTTGATCTAAAAAATTAGATCTCAAGTTACGTTTATAATAAGATTAAAAAATAAAAATTAAAATTAAAATAAAAATAAAAAAAACGATTATTTTTTATCGAAAAAGCACAAATCCCAAAATAAAGATTATTCTTAATCGAAAAAAGTAAAAATCATAAAATAGCGGTTAAATTTGATCGGAATAATAGAAATCCGATTTTAACGGCTATATTGGGGGGCTTATAATGAAGATCATACCCGTTACGACGGTCCCTGACATCGAGTTAAGCTTCGTCCCTCGCCACCTGATCTTTCCAACGCTGAGGGTGCGTCCTCTGTCCTACTCTGTGCCAACAGCAAGTTTCGCATCGAATATTTTCCGGGCTAGAACATTTTCAACCATTCGTACGACATAGCCTAGTCATCGCAGCCGCTGGTTTTTAATTCGCCGCACTATGCCGATGTCGTTGTAAAGCTCATCGTTCCATCGTCTGCGGTACTCGTCGTAACAAATTTTGAAAGTCCCAGAAAATTTCCCATATAATCTTCTTGTCGAACACTCTAAGGGCCGCCAGATGATCTCATCGTTCAGCCTCTGCGTCATAGATCATCAGAGGCATGATGAGCTCAAATATCACTTTCCATCTTTCTGTGAACTTCATTATTCCTAGTTCGTAGGAGCACTTTTCTTTATTGGTACAACACAACATATCATCTGAATTCAACACCGTTATTCTACGCAATAAGTTTTGAACAGCGCATAACAAATGGAAGTCCGATGAGTATTACTGGCTTCATTCCAGCTCCAATAAATTTTGACGAATCGCCCGAAACGTTGTGATGGATTACAACCCGGACATTTCTAGATGAAAAATTCAATCAAAAAGTTCAATTGCCGACGGCACTCATCCGAATTGGTTGTTCCGACTCCTTGGTAGCAGTTTAAAAAACACCAAGCTCTTCCAATTCAACATAAAGTTCTCTTGGTGATGTCCTGCTTTTGAAATTATTTGAAGCGAACCAGTACGTCGGAAAACAGAGTGTTTGCGCCGCACATTATTCCGAACGAATCCTCTTCTCAGTCACCAGTTATCGTTATTTTCAACAAAGGATCGTTTTCTTCAAGCTCCAGCTGTAGATCGTGGATATCCACACATGTCGTCTTATGTATTCATTTTTTTTTTTTTTTAATTCATTTGGAATCTAAATAGCGAGCTTGCTGCTTCTTTGGGTGCAAGTGAACAATCTTTTTGATTGATTTTCAATGCTTCTGCGAACCCTCGTTTCGTATAATATGGGTTTAACTCGATCGATGTCTTTGCTGATGTTTGGTGCTGTGAAAATTAGACTATAGCCACCAGCTGTTGCAAAAATACGCAATGCTTCTTTACTCAATCTAATACATAGTAAAAAAGACAGACACTCTAAAGGATAATGTGGAAAAAGCATCGACTGCAAAAATGTTTGCCTCTGGCGTGTTGATTGTTGATAGCTGTATGCGGAGCATAATGATTGTTGGGGATACAAGAAATTGCAATTTGTGAATATTGTGCACTTTTTTCAAACTCACAGATTTTTTAAGCAAATTTTAATTAACTTTAAAGTACTACCGGCCACAAAATTTGCTTCGGCATTTGTTTTGCGACAACATATAAAACTGTATAAAGGCATGAATTTCTTAGAAAATATAATGGTACCGAGTTATACATACTTAAGCAAAGCCACGCTTTACTAGCGCTGAACCACTGTTATTGCCAAAATTCTTATGTCCCTTTAAATTTATTTGTTTTCAAGCTTCAGTTAAATTTTTCTCTTGTTATTTACCAAATTAACTAACACATACATACAAACATATGTATATAAAACTAATACAAAACAAAACTTGCATATAATAATATGTGGTATTCGATTTAGTTTTTTTTATTTTGTGAAAATTCATGAAACAGTTTTAGACTATAATCGATTTTCGCTTGCATTTTCATTCAACTTTCGATTGTAAACAATTAGGATAATTAACAGAGTTCACCTCAATTCCCGCAAGATTTTGTACATACTTACATACAACAACTACCCAATTTCCCATACATGCATACCTACAGACATACATACATATGTACATACCTACAATATGTAAGTTAAAAAATTTATTGATGTTTAACTTTTCAAATAATGCAATTAAAACAACAAGCAACAAACTCACCGCACGCATCCGCCCCACCACATACATACACAACCAAACAAAAGTTTAAATGCAATTAAGCCTTATTGAAAGTGAAAACTGAAGTATGTCAATATTTTTTCTTTGCTTTTTCTACTTTTTCTCTTCAAATATTACAAAAAAAAAATGCGTATGCAAATTGAATTTTTTTAAATAATGCCCAACAAAATTCACTACACACGCAATGTAATGGCTGTATTCTCACTCACCTTCCACAACCAACCAAAATAACGGCAATTCACCATACACTCGAAAATTAAAAAAAAAAAAAAAAATCTAACGTGTGCGCGCCCTGCCGTGCACATACGCCCACCCTCGTGCAACAGGTCGCGCTCTGGTGAGAGTAGCATGCAAGCCTTGCAACAACAACAACAACACCATCAGCCACAACAACATCAACAGCAACAGAGTGCACAATCGCAACATCAACAACAAACATTAACGGCACAAAAGTCTAATTCGCGCTCAGGCAAGAAACGTGCAGCCGCCGCAGCCGCTGCAGCTGCCGCTGCCGCCGCGGCCTTAGTGGG